AAGACCAAAGTTGTAGGGTTCTTTAAGCACTATGCTTAAAAGTATTTTTAACTATACAGAGTGTTTTTTAAATCTTTACATATTTTAATTGACCGCTTCTTAGGCTTTACAACTACAGTTTATTTTTGAATTTACGATGCGACGTTACCACGTTATTCCACTTTCCTTGAAATTTTTTAGCAATAGAAAAGTTTATTAAAAATCACAGTAGGGTTATTAAATTTTCATATACAGAGTGTTTATAAAAATTGTTTTAATTATTACATTTTTCAAAAATCGATATTTGGTTTTTTACAAGGACAACACCCTACATTTTATTACCACATCTTAAAACATAGAGTAAGATACAATCATAAAATACAGGGTGTTCTATTTCAAAAAACTGAAATATCAATATTTGCAAATTCTAAAGTTTTAGATTTTTTATAAACACTCGGTATATTAAAATTTAAGCGCCTACCTTTCTTTATCCTTCCACAAAATATTATAAGACAGACTTTAAAAATAACCCTATTGCGATTTTTTGTAAAGACTTCAATTGCCAAAAATTTTCAAGAAAATTGGAATAACGTGACAACTTCGCATCGGAATGTCAAAAACAAACTGTGGTTGTAAAGCTTAAAAAGAGGTCTATTAAAATAAGTTATATGTTACGTCTTAAAAACATAACACTCTGTACAGTTAAAATAATTTTAGAGTGCAGTGTTTTTTTTATTTCTAATAGTTCATGACAATAATAAGAGATTCTTCAAAATATTTCCTATCATCATTCTACGTTTTTCTTTAGTCATCCTCTGGTTTTGAATTGTTTTGCTTTCTTTAACTTGTCGATTTTCATGTATTCTAAGAAGACGTCCGGACCATTTCAGCTATTTTTTCTCTTGTAGTATGGATTTCACTGCTAGTTCATCTCTTGTTACCTCATATTTTAACTTATTTTTTCTTGAATCTTATTCGTCATTTTATTTGCCAAATCGCACTTTCGTTGCCATACACAGGCGCGGATACAGGATTTCGTTCAGGGGGGGGCAATTTTTGTGCGATTTCACCTATCTACCAGAAATTCGTTCTAAACAAAAAAATTTATAAAATTTTAGCTAGTATACTCTTTTTCACATAACATGGGTGACATTTGGTTCTTTTCATTACACGTATAGTGTACAGTAGAACCTCGATAATCCTAATTAATTGGGAAAAAGGTGTGTTCGGATTAACGATTTGTTCGGATCAGCAATTTTCCCAAAAATCTGAAAGGGAATTGAATAACAACTTCATACACAACTGAAAACAAACTTCAAGAATTAAACCTAAATTTGATTAAACAAAAATTAAAGAATTCTTAAGCAACAATGGATAATAGATACATTCTAAAAAAATATTACTCCGTGACCATAAACACGCTATCTTTTTGGAATAAACACCCCGGGATCTATACCCTGAAATTTTTCAGAATTTTTAGATGAATTTTTCAAAAATGAAATTTTCCATTATGTATTCGTATTACCTCCTTTATGCAAATTTCAACCCATTCTCGGCGATTTTCGAAATTTAACTAAATATATTTTCTTGTAGATTTTGGACCTCAGAAGTCACTTCTGGCTTCATTTCTTCGATAATTTAAACCATTTTTCCAGAATCGTCCAGTTGAAATATCGCAATTTTTAAAAATTTCGAAAAACTCGAATTTCACAGCGAATTTTCCGAAAATATTGCTCCGTTACCATAAACATGGTATATTTTTGGAATCAGCACGTCGGGATATATATCCCTGAATTTTTAGGAAATTTTTTCAAATATGAAATTTTTCTCATGCAAATTTCGACCCATTTTCGACGATTTTCGAAGTTTAACCAAATACTTTCTCTTGTAGCTTTCGGGTCTCCGATAACTTCATCCGTTTTTCTAGAATTAGTTAATTAATATATTCAGTGCTTTGAAATATCGCAATTTTTAAAAATTTCAAAATATTCCATACAAAATATGCAGAAAGATCTTGCGTCATTTTTGGAAGTAGATGCATGTTTTCAAGTTCAGTTCGGATTAAACAGGCATCGACTTCAAATAGCCTCTGTTCGGATTACTGGATGCTGAGACAATCGTGAGTTCGGATTATAGAGGTTGTACTGTATTTACAAAATGAAATATAATTTAAAAATTTTGAAATTGGTCAAAATAAAGTACCTCGGTCGTGTGTCAGGGGGGGGCAATTGCACCCATTGCCCCCCCCCCCCTGGATCCGCGCCTGGCCATACATCCGTCTGTAAACCGTCTTATACACTGTTATCTTTGTTTCTTCATTGATTTTAGTACCTTCTATAGACCTGCTACGACTATGTTACAGTTTTGTAGCGTTGTAAATGTTTTCACTTATTTCACATTCCATATCTATTAGTACTCCTAAATATTTGTACATTTCTACTTGCTCTAAGTATAATTCTATGTTAACTTCTTTGTTGTTTTTTCCTATATACATTATTTATCACTATGAACAAGATAGGGCTCGTGATCCCACCCTGCCTCAGATCATTGTTCATTTCCAACATTTCTGAGTCCAAATTATCTTTTTTGATATAAGATATAACCTTTGTTTTTCTCATAAAGTCATTTGATTGCTAATATTGACTTTAAGTTCATGCGTCTGTTCTCTAATATTTTCCAAATTCCTTTTGCGACACCCGGTCAAAAGTTTTTTCAATTTTCAAGACTGCCATATATGCTTCAAATTTTTTTATTCTTGCTCCTTCCTGAGCATAAACCCGTCTTTGTTTGTTTATCTATATTCTCTTTAATGTATAGAGATTATCACAAATAAAATGTGGCAAAACCAAATTGTACAATTTTTCAAAAAAGAGGGATGTGTGTCTATATTTTAACGGCGGGGGAAGTTCTATTGAAATAACCTCCGACCAATTTTTTTTTCTTTTATTTAACTTGGGTTTTTAGCTCGTTGTGATGGTGATCCTTACTTCTGAAGCAACGTTTGAAATGTTCAGCTGTGTTTCACAGTGTGATGCAACGGGCGATGATGGACCTCGCCAGTCACCCTCAAATAAATAATAAATAAATAACGTGTTTGTTTCTTATTTCTAATCTAAAATTTATCTTTTTGAACTATTGCCACAGGTTTTCCAAATTCTGTTTATCGTACAAATTGTTGTATACATGTATTTTATTTTATACTGTATTCTTACATTCCTTTACTAAATATCTTCTTCGTTTAATTTGTAATTATTAATATTCTCAGTTATTTCTTCTATTATTTCTAACACTTTATTTCTGCTCATTTGTTGTTCTATCAAATTTTATCTTGACCACTAGCAGGTAGGTAACGGTCATTCTAGATTTCTGAATCTCTCTCTGAAGTGACAACCATATCTCTTTCCTATATTCTTTTCTAATGAGTACATAATCCAATATAGACTTTTTATTTTTGTTTTTAACTTCCCCTGTAAATTGTGTATGTCTTTGAATTTGAAAAACGTGTTGCTTATGACTATGTTATTTTCCAAACAGAAGTTTTTCAGTCTCTTGCCGTTCGTTGTTATGTCTGTTCTTTTGTCCATATGTACCTAATGTATTTTTGTTTGTATTGTCACATAAGCCAAATCTCCTATTCATTTTTAGGTTGTAGTCAAATATAATGTTCATAGTCAAAATCTAGTGTTCATCTACGATCAAACGTAGCCTTTTTAAATGAGTGCCTAAATGCCATTAGTAAGTCTAAAACAATTGTGACTGGTTCATTACATTCGTTTGTAAGTCGAAAGTGATACTTGTGTTTTCTGGTGATACGATTATAGTACATAATATTTTTATTTTTTAATAAATTCAGTAGCGCAGAAAATATTATTTGCCAACGTAATCAATAAGTATTTCGTACTACGTCACCAAAAATTAGAAAGAAGACGTATCGGGTGTCCTTTGCGGCCTGTTTAAGCCAATTAACCGATCTTGTTTCGTAATATTCCGACGTGCGATCAACAAAAATTGTCCCCTCGTTAGCTCTGAACTTTCAGCTGTCTTTGTCACTCCTCATTGTGAATAACTAGAGAGCGGATTTTATGAAATTTGCATATCCGTTATTTTTTGCATATAAGTCTTGATATTTAATATGTGAACGAATCATGCTAATTAAAAAAGAATACAGCTATAAAAAAATTGCATATTTGCATATATTTGCTTTCTGCTGCATATTTCACCAAACGGGTGCATATTTTGCATTTTTATCAATTTTTGTGCTAATTTGAAAAAAAAATTATTGTCATTTTTCTATTTACAAATACATATACTTACTTTAGAATCACCGGAAAAACTTTTTGTTAGAATATTTCGAAAAAATATTTAAAAATAAATTGTTACCAAAATAGTAATTAAATAGTGGATTACTACTATTTTTTAATTTGTTCTGTTTATATTTATTTTTTAGTATAAGAATATTATCTTTAAAAACGTGATTTATGTGTTAGTTATTGAGATGTAATTAAACACTTTGCAATGTGATTTATGTATTTTTTGTAATAAAACGTAAGCTCAGGAACCCTGTTTTTGTATTTTATAAATTAATTTAGTTCGCTTTTTTTTTAATTTTTGAAGCATATGTATCTGCATATCTCTGCATATATTAAGAAAGTTACTGCATATTTGCATAAATTTGGTGCATATCATATGATCATATTTCTCAAAATTTTGGTGCATATTTTCCGCTCTCTATGAATAACAGACCAAAGAAAGACAAGTTTTGTTGATAACAGCCTATTTTCAACGTTCTTTCAATTTTGTTTTTGCTGAAACGTACTGCTGTGTCCCTGTGCACCTTTCACACCAATCAAGAAAACGCCTACCGGCAATCGACCGCCTTAATTGTAGCCACATGTGGCCGTCTTCACCACTAAATAATAGATTTCAACTTCCCACTGAATTACTAATGATCAACAACCCACCGTTGTGCATTCTAGTCTTTCCTTCCCTCGATCTTCGCCGTTAATTCCGCTGATTTGCAGGCTTCCTGCCGACCTTTGGACCATCCTTCATACATCTTTACGGCTCCACGAGGGATTACAGCCTAATCGACGAACACTCCAGCCTGAATACAGGTTTGGGTGAGGGAGTTTCATACAGAGCTCGTCTTCTGGTGGCTATCCGCACGGAAATCACAGACAGCATCGACTTAGCACCCTCTGCTGTGGAAATAGAAGCCACCATTCCCGTCAACGAGGCGTCGTATGCCAAAAATGAAGAGTTCTTCTTGTTTGCTACAATACTCGATGCATCCATGATTGATAAAAAATTAGGCGATAAGCCGGTTTATTTCGAAATTAGTATTGGGAATGCGGGTAATGCCATTGATGGACACAATGAATCCGCGAGGGAGCATTATGATTCGGATAGCGACGAATTGGGTAAGTGATTACGTAGGGTGATATTAAATTTTCTAGAAAAGTGAATGTCATTAAGGGTGTCTGGGGGATATTGTGCAACCTTATACAGACAAGAATGGAGTTAATGTACCATATGTGTATGTCGTTTTCTTTTGAAAATTTTTATCCAAGACAATTATTTTATAGAGAGAGTTGAGGTATGAAAATAGTACGTGCGTGAATATAGATATTTTATTCGTAAGAGAATATTCAGTTTTAAGGTTCTTGGATGTTTCACAGCTCGTAAAATACAAAAATGAAGGTTTACCATTGTCGTCTACCCACTGTTTGCTTACGATGGAAAACCAACTACTTTGAAATTGCAATCAAATTTTAAAAATAATGGAAAGAATAATTTCACATCACGTCATCGCAATATATTTTCTTAAGAACATCTCAGTCAGATGTACTCTGTACTTTTATGTACACCAATTGTTCTAACACAACTTGAAGCTGTGCCAACAAATTTTAACAATAAATATTCTATAAATTTTTCACCATTTCAGAAAATCGATAAGACACACTTACTGGAACTGCCTTGAAATGCATGTTGTAGTTTCAGTGATTAGGAAACGAAGAAAGTTCTGTGTAAAAAAATTTACAGATAAGTGAAAAGTGGTGTATAGGACCGTTGTATAAAGCCTAATTTAGAGTTTTCTTTAAAACTCGTATTGTTCTAGATTATGTACATTATGTAGTTTGGGAAAAAGTTAGTTGTTGTTGATAATAATTGGTGCGATTGCTAAAGCCTCAGGTGTTTCGGATTTTCCGAGTCGGTTTCTCACATCCCTAAACTAATACTTACAAACTTACCCTTTAATCTTGAAAATCTGCTTTCCAGGAAAGTTTATTCTGGATTCACCAAACACGTTAAGCGTGGGATTTACCGATACTGTTTTCACTTCAGCAGACATTAAGAAAATTCTACGTACTCATTTTCTGTTCTGTTACAAGCACATTACTAATACAGAAATGATTATTTCATTGTTATTCATTATCGCTAATAAAACTTGTCGGCATTTTTATAATTATATTTTTTTTGCTTATTTCCTTCCACAATGAAGACTGAATAATTGAATGTGTGATGTAAATATCGCTTATCAACATGTCATTTGTATTACTTATTATCTGAGTTAGGCACAGCCGAAGTGATGAGGAATCAATCAGACAAATATTAAAAACGACGGCGCGACGTCAGGCGATAAATTTGGCTGGGCGACTGTACAGTCTCAACCTCAGTGGCGTTTGATGTAGTTCAGGGTGTATCTGATCAAGATCATCACAAAAATTGTGATGTTGAACAGTCATTTGTGATTTTTAAAGCATTGTAACATCTAGGAGAACTCGTATAACTGAGGAAAATCTAGAAAAAGTAGTAATTATTATTAAGAATTCCCGAAGTTGTAGGCCACGACTGCAATGATCATCACTTCCGCGCTGCCGAAGTCTGATAATAATTATTCAATTTTGAACAGTTCCCTGAATTACAAGCACATATTATAAATCCAGTCAAAATAACAACCAATATCTCCACTAAGCACGATGTTATTGTTTGAATTTAACGATAAAGCTTTTATATAGGCACTACCCGCCGATTTTTTAGGTTTGATTCACTGTTTTTCTTTTTATTCTCCTACAAGTTTAAAACTCCGATATGATATGTTCACAAATTTAGTTGATTGTCGCTGATATTGATATATCGCGTGTTCAATTGAAAAAGTCATCAAATTGGTCTTGACATTTGGAAAACATTGTGAAGTATGTTGACGAAGAGCTACTTTCATGTTATCTCAACGTTGCATGCCCCCCTATAGTACGAAAAAATAGTTCTCGCGTTTCCGTCTGTCCGTCATCTATCTATGCTAATTTTTATTTAGACATATAGTAGCCGAAACTACTGGACCACGTTGTCAAATTTTATGTGTAAGTATGTAATATCGTGTGGATGGTGAAACGTTGCCCAAAATTTGTCTAATCCCCCCCGCCAACAATTAATTTTATAAAATAGATACTCCTGAACTTGTAGTTTATGAATACTTGTGGAGTGTTTAGCTTAAATATTGTATAACATTTTACAAATTGAAACTGCAAAACTATCGTAAGCATGGTAAATCGTTAATCATTTTTTTTTTTTTTCTTAAAATGATGACCCCATTTTACAATTTTGCTGAATAAATAAATGTTTTTTAAATTTGATAGAATAACATACTCCTACAAATGTGAATTATGAATCGGTGATTTTATTCCACACATCCAGATTTTTATGAAAAGATTATAAATTTGACATTGAAACTGCAAAACCGAATGCTTCTGAAATATTGCAAACGAAAGCATGGTAAATAGTTAATCAAAATGTTTTGTTCATGGCGTCACCAAAAAATGATGACGTCATCTTACAGTTTTGCCGAATAAATATTCTTCAAATTTATGAGCGTCTACTCTAAACATCCAGTTTTATTAGAGAAAAAGCGACTGTGCTTAATTAATTACTTACTCTTCTCCCCTGTGTTGAATTGAATTTAATTTTGTTTTAACTCAAATGTCGTTGCTGATGCTTGCTCTCTGAACGTGCTAATGGTCGAATTCTTTCGAAGTATAATTTCGAAGTATAAACATAAACAGTCGAAGTTAAGCAAGAATGTACTGAAAATACATTTTTCCCGTCCAGTATCTACTTTAACTATATTTATTTCGTATTGTCCTCAGTCGTGCGGATTGTGCTCCCGCGGCCCATGGACTGCGTATCACAGAGCAAAATTCTCACAATTTAATTAAATTTTATCATTTTTCAAAAGGCGTGAAAAGCTAAGTCGAAATAATTTTCGACCTACTTTTTTCGGTTAAAATTTAGTTGTAATGTTACCGATTTTTTATGGTTCTGTAAAGCCAAATTGTTTATAGTTTCCTACAAACATTAGATCTTTATCTTAAGACTGGAACGGCAGTATACAACTTTTTTAATATCATCAGAAAATTTTAGTGTACATATTTTATCAGAACATTGCAGAATGTAATAGAAATTTTACAACAATTTTTTTTTATTTTTAATACATGAATGTTCTTTATTTAATGCAATATTAAAAAATTGGTTTAAAGAGTTTAGACAGTACTTCCCTCGCTGTCAGAAACGTGACCACTGCATGCCTATTATGTTTTTTTCGCATTACATTTTTGTAGCGGGGCAGTTTAAAATAAATTGAGTCTTAATTTTTTCAATTTTGTCATTATTTGGCATTGATATCTGTGTCATTTTTTTTTCTGTGATTGCCATAAAATTAAATTGAGTCTCTGGGGTGTATAATATGTTGTCTATGCAAAAACTGTCAGGCGTGAACAGACAAAATGAACACCCTGTATAGTACTTGTAATTTGAAACAAATAGCCATAACACGTATCAACCTGTAGACGCGACGGTGAAACACAAACTAAACTAAAACATGGTTTCTACGAATTGCAGTAAGTGGATGACAATGCCGATGGTCCAGACATTTTTATTGCTCTGACTTCCATTTATTAAATAAAACATTGCATTTTATTTTAACTTTCCATATTGTATTTCACATTTGGTTAATTATAACGTCTCTAGATCTATGGCAGCATCCCCTAGCCTCCCCCTAGCTGCGGCCTTATGAAATATTGAGAAAATTTGAAAGTACAAAATTGCCCAATGAACTCCATTACTGTACGTCCTTAAGTTATCCTCGATAAGAAAAACAACTTGAAAGTATTCATGTTTATACATCGGAAGAATGTCACGTAGAAATTAGTTTGATTTGAATGAGTTCGTCTCCTCAAAACAGAGGATCAAAACAATTAACTAGTAAGCCAAAATGTTCTGAATATCGTTATTATAATAGGTCTCAGGTTGTGAGAACTGGAAGCTCGCCTTCAAACACCATTTCTGTGAAATCAGATGTCCCTTAAGGAGCTCATTGTGGGTGTATTATTTAATCTCTTTATTAACACATTTACCTTTCGGCATATTTTTCAAAAATACTTTTATTGCGGGATATACAATATTGATTTTTACCATTACTTACATCGTTTTTCTGTTAAATTAAAACACACGCTGTGTAAGTGTATTTATTAAGTTAGTTTAGTTTAGTTATTTTTTATTATTCTTATATTTTTGTTTTTCTGTAATGTCATGGGGCTTCCCGTAAATAAACTATTATTATTATTAATTCTTATTAAATAAAGACGTTTGTATTTTCACATTTTCGGGAAAATGGAGTGACTCGTTCTTGATTTGATCGAAAAAAAATTTCAATGCTATGATGAATCACAAGTAAAAACTCTTCATATTTTGCACATTTTGGATAGAATTTATTCGGCAAAATTTTTTAGGGGAAATAAACAGATTTATTTTGATTAACAATTTACCATGCTTACAATGACGTTAAAACGTCTGCAAGATTTCAAAGTATGTGTTCAGTTTTGCAATTCTTGATTTGATCATTAAAATTAATTGAATTATGTAGTCATTAATTTTTTTCAGACACCCCGTATAAGCAAATCTAAAAAATATTAATGCAGTGCAAATCACAAGTTGGTATAAACTCATCATTCTTTAACGCATTTAAGATGAGCAAATACATTTTGACCAAAAATTTACCATGCTTATGATAAATTTAAAGCATGTCCAAGATTTCAAAACATTCAGTTTTGTAGTTCCTGATTAAATCAATAAAATAAATACACGCATTTATTAATATTTTTTAGTCATCCTGTATCTGCAAATCCAAAAAATATGAATGGAATGATGAATCACAAGTACAAACTCATCAGATTTTGTACATTTTAGGTGGGATTTATTCGGCAAACTTTTGAGCTGACGTCATCAATTTTTTGGAGGAGATAAGTAAATATATTTTGGTTAAAAATTTATCATGCTTATTATAACTGTAAACCATCTGCAAGATTTCAAAGCATTCGGTTTGCAGATTCCAAATTAAATTGCAAAATGTTTCATAATTTTAATTTTTTTTTCCTCAAAAATCTGGACGTTTCGGGTAAAAACTCAATACGGAGTCATAAGCTACATGTGTAGGACTATCTTATTTCATACAATTTAAAACCAATTTACTATTCCTAATATAAATACAAAATTTGACAATAATCGGTCCAGAACTTTCGGAGATTATCTGTCTAATAAAAATCCGGGACGGCAAATAGAAGACGGACAAACAGACAGTCAAGCAGACAGGCGGACAGGCAGATGGACAGACAGACGGAAATCGGAGACCTATTTCTTCGTACTCTAGGGGTCATGAAAGGTCGACAAAACGCAAAAGTAGAGAATCGCTTACGCTCAGAAAGTAAAAACGTTATTTCAAAGGAATCACACCTATACAATTTAAAAGATCTTTAAGTAGTAAGTTGTATGAAATAAAACAATTTTTCAGAAAAATACACGAAATCATACCATTGTTTTTTCATGAAATAAGAAAAATTGGTGTAAAGTTCCTTCGTTCCCTAAATACAGCCGAACAAATCAAGTTTCTCGAAAAATTATAAAACTGGAATTTGCAAAATTTTGTTTATTTTATGATAACCTCTATAAGTAAAATACGTAGTGCAAAAAAAAATTCGATTAAAATGGAATTCGACCCCACACGGACAACAAAGCACAAGTCCTACGCTTGTTGAACCTGAACTCTGCGGATTTATCTTTTAACACGAGGCATTTTATCCATCAGTTACGTGAAACGTGATACTCTTGAATCACATTTAAAATTTGACAAAACAATCGATCCAGTAGTTTCTGGGAATTCTGTCTAATAAAAATCGACACAGACAGGAGATAGACAGACGGAAATGGAGATCTATTTTTTGTACTCTAGAGGCCATGAAGCGTTGAAAAAACATGAAAGAAACCATTCGCCGAATGAATCCTATTCCATTATTTCCTCACCCTACGCTCAAAAAATAAAAGCCGAATCAATTCTATGAAAAAACTCATTACATCGACTTTTTTATTTTGATTTGGCAACAATTAAATTGTAATTTTTTAAGAATAAACACAGAAGGAAGAATTAACGCTATAACTAAACGAACCTTGTTATTTTGTGGAGAGATATTTGCTTCCTTTTATGCGTAAAATATTTTGTTGTAATCTCAAACTTTTTTGTAAGTGATTTGAAAAGTTGTCACCTAAACTTCATTTGTTGTAAAATGATTTTCTTTTGGCCTTTCTACTTCTCGATAATAAGCTACTTTCATGTTTTCTCGACGTTTCATGATTCCAAGATTATGAAAATTAAGTTGTCTATCTGTCGTCTGTGTCGATATTTATTGAACAGCTAATCTCCGAAACTACCGGATCGACTGTCGTCAAATTCTATACATGTATATTAAGAAAACGCGAACTAAAATTTGTCTGGTCATCCCCACCTACAATGTGATGACATGATTTCAAAATTTGCATAGTAAATTTTATTTAATTTTCATAAAATAACGTCCTGTCATTGTGGTTTATGAATCTGTGTTCATTTTTACCCTAAACATACAAATCTCAACATTGTATAACACACGTTGTAATTTAATTTTAAGTTTGAAACTGGCAAATTTTTGCCGAACAAATCCTACCTAAAACAGTATTTTTTAATCTTACTAAATAACAACACACAATTCTTTATAAAATATGTTACGGAATTGTCCCTAATTTGAGTAGATAGATAACAAAAAAAAGTTAGAAGAGACATAACATGGAACAATGAAATATCCTATGAAATCTAAATAAATATTAAGATATTTTCAATTCTTAATTATAATTATCAAGACAAATCAAATCGTACAAGCGCTAATTAACAAAATACACATAAATCGAACAAGCTGTAAATTTCTGCTGGTTGATTTATTTGTTCGGTATCTGTATCTACATTTTCCAAATCATTCTCAATACCTTCTAAAATCGACGAATATATTCGATTCTGACTTAAAACTGACTGAAGTTAAACTCAATTCCCAACACAATGAATAACGCTACAGACGTAATGGACTGATATGATTCCTATTTTCAATTCTTGATATTGCCATGTTAACTTGAGTTCGTTTCGTACGACCTTTAATGGAAATAGAAATATTTTCTGTTTGCTACAGACGAGCAGCAAATATTTTTATTACCTTTTTGAACTCATAATTTAAGCAAATATTATATAGTTCAGAACATTATACGTATGAGTTAACTAGTAAGCTCAATTTAGTCCTGACACGTAACTTGATTAAAATTATTCCTCCAACTTTGTTCACTTTGCTAATTTCATTACACAAAAATGTATTGTGCTATTTTGTTTCAGAACGTAATTTAAATAAAATAATCAACAATTTTTATCATAGGTTTTACACGATCAAAAAATAAAGGACGTTTTCTAAAAGTCAACAATAGTCACATGTAAATTGATTATAACCCAACAAAAAATTATATTCCCACCTTGATTTCTAGAATTAAGTTATAAATGTTTCAGTTATAATTTTGTCTTATATATTTTCTATAAAGGTTGTGGTTTTAAAATAGTTTGATCGAGTAGTTGAGAAACGGTCTCTATGCAACTCTGCATATTTTTCCTTTCGTTAAGTTGCTGGAATGTTTGTAAAAATTCTCTCCATTTCAAGCAACGAAGCGAAATAATTTAATCTCAAACAAAGTTCTAACTCTGAGTTCTGAGTGATTAACAGCAGCGCCCCAAAGTCAATGAAAAGATAATAAAAGTTAAACTTATTCAATTTTAAATAAACGCCGTTATTATTTCAACAGTGAAACATTCGTAACTTTCAGAAACTGTTACGACAGACAGCGGTTCATGGCAGAGCACCACGACCCCAGCAAAACCCATGACCCACGATAAAATATACTACTTTTTACCGTACTGGGACAACAAACCTTGCATGCACATTAGGTCCGTATGGCCAGACTACAGAAGACGCATGTACAACTCCAACATAATTTCAAAACTTGTTGAAAAACTCGTAAGTATATTGACAACAGTCAGCAAATTGTATTAATATTAAATAACAGGAAGACGGGCTTTCGGAAGTGAACTCGTCAATGGACTCGGACGATCCTGAAACGGAAACACGCCTGAAACAGGTATTGGAGGATTTATCGATAGGTTGTACAAAATATGTGACCATATCTCAAGCGTCGATGACAGGACCGGGAACAGGAAAGACGAAGTTGGACAAAGAGCACCTCAAACTTTGTCAAAGGGAAATTGTAAGTGGAGGAAATGAAGGAAATGAAAAATTCACTCGGGTGTATTGTTTCAGGAAAATATAGGTAACGCTGCGAGAAATCTCCGTGCTTTGGTAACGAAAAGCTCGTTCAGAGAACGGTATAAAACAGCGCAAACTTACTTGACGAAACTGAAATTTTTAACGGAAGATGTAAGTGAAATCAATCGTTTCGTTCAATATTTTTTATCGACTGACAGCAACATTTCCGTTTTACTGACATAGCTGTTTAAGGAGTGAAATAGCACTTCAATAAATAATACAGTTATAACTTGTGCGCCACAAAGTCAAAAACTTAGCTTTTTAATTTAGCAGAGACGCTGTGGTGTCTAAAATATTTTTCCAGAATTACCTCATAATTTTTTTTTAAGACAGTCCGGAATCCTACGTACGTTCTTTTCTTTTAGCGATAATTCATTCGAATGTATATTGTATGTTTTAAGTCTAATTCTAAATACTTAATTAAAGAGACAATTTTTATGTTCAAGATCTGCTGCTTTGTTGCCTACTTACGCAAATAACTATTTTTGTAGCCCCAACATGCCCTTCCGGATGTATTCTTGTGGATTATCAGCGGAGGTAAACGACAAGCCTATCAAAGGATCTCGGCAAGGGATATTATTTATTCAATCGTTGACGAAGAGAGTGGAAGAGATTGTGGGAAGGTGCAGACGATGTTTCTCAAGGTGAGTAATTAAACTTGACGTTCCCTTTTAGAATTTTTGGAGATGAATACTAATTACACTAAAGCCAGTGACACCGGTAATTAGTGTAAAATTAGCTGAACGAGTTTAGTGACATTAATAAAGCTTTTGATCAATTTTGTGCCCAACAATGCGATACACGATTAAAATTCTCTGGGTATACAAAGACCATGATGCAATGGTACGTAATAATAGAAAGAAAACTAACTTTTAGGAATACAAATTTTTAGGATCGCTGCCTGTTGTTAATTTGACATTTTTCTCTCTTTGTCTTTTTTGAGTTTATCGCTATCTCCGCTTTTTCGGTTCACGTATTCCCTTTATATTCTCGTTGGGCATATAATCCACATTATACACTGCTACCTCCACGTCATTTTAAGCCATAGTACGTCAATACAGGGTGTCTAGCGAAAACTTCTCACAAGAATATTTCTGTGTCAAATATTTTTAAAAAAGAAATATTTTTAATAAACGAAGAAGTATATACATACATACTTCCACCGGTTATGTAACATTTCATTTAAAAACTCTGGGAAACAAAAATATTAAGGTGTTATTCTTTCGATAATTAAAAACAAAATTCAATGTGTTTTGAACATTATTTATCGAAACAACATATTAACAGAAAAGTCAATAGGAAAGCAAAACAGAGGAGTGATCAAACAACAAAGAACAAATCCATTAAGTTGAATGAATTATTTTCCATTTGTAAAACCAATTTTATCTTTTTACTTCCCGAGCGTAAGCAAAGGAAGTATTGTAATCGACTCCGTCGGCCGACTCTCAACTTTTACGTTTTCTCGATCTTTCATGACCCCTAGAAGACGAAGAAATAGGTCTCCCATTTCCGTCTGTCTGTCCGTCTGTCCGTCTGTCCGTCTGTCCGTCTGTCCGTCCGTCTGTCCGTCCGTCTGTCCGTCTGTCCGTCTGCCGTCCCGGATTTTTATTAGACAGATAATCTCCGAAAGTACTCGACCGATTGTTGTGAAATTTTGTACTTATATTAAGAATATCATGTAGATGGTAAAACGCTAACCAAAATTTGTCTAATCATCCCCACCACTAATGCGATGACGTCACTTCAAAATTGTACATAGTAAATGGGTTTTCAATTGTATAAAATAACATAGTCCTACACATGTAGTTTACAACTCTGAATCGACTTTTCACCCGAAACGTCCAGATTTTTGGAAAAAAAATCAAAATTATAAAACAACATTTTGAAATTTAATTTTTAATCTGCTAACCAGAATGCTTTGAAATGTTGCAGATGTTTTAAGGCTATAAAGAGCATCATAAATCTTTAGTCAAAAAATATTTGCTTATCCCCTCAAAAACTTGATGACGTCAACTCAAAAGTTTGTGGAATAAATCATATCTAAAATGTACAAAATATGATGAGTCTGTACTTGTGATCTATCACTCCATTCATATTTTTTGGATTTGCATAAACAGGGTGACTCAAAAAAATTAATGAATGCGTAAATTTATTTTACTGATTTACTCAGAAACTACACAACCGAATGCTTTGAAATCTTGCAGATGTTTTAAGGTTATAAAGAGCATAATAAATGTTTAGTCAAAATATATTTGCTTATCCCCTCCAAAAAATTGATGACGTCAGCTCGAAAGTTTGCCGAATAAATCCTATCCAAACTGTAAAAATATGATGAGTCTGTACTTGTAATTTATCATACCATTCATAATTTTTGGATTTGCATATACAGGGTGACTCAAAAAAATTAATGAATGCGTAAATATATTTTATTGATTTAATCAGGAACTACAAAACCGAATGCTCTGAAATCTTGCAGATGTTTTAAGGTCATAAAGAGCATAATAAATGTTTAGTCAAAATATATTTGCTTATTCCCTCCAAAAACTTGATGACGTCAGCTCGAAAGTTTGCCGAATAAATCATATCTAAAATGTACAAAATATGATGAGTCTGTACTTGTCATTTATCACTCCATTCATATTTTTTGGATTTGCATATACAGAGTGACTCAAAAAAATTAATGAATGCGTAAATATATTTTATTGATTTAATCAGGAACTACAAAACGGAATGCTCTGACATCTTGCAGATGTTTTAAGGTTATAAAGAGCATAATAAATGTTTAGTCAAAATATATTTGCTTATCCCCTCCAAAAACTTGATGACGTCAGCTCGAAAATTTGCCGAATAAATCATATCTAAAATGTACAAAATATGATCAGTCTGTACTTGTGATCTATCACTCCATTCATATTTTTTGGATTTGCATATACAGGGTGATTCAAGAAAATAAATGAAAGCGTAAATTTAGTTTACTGATTTACTCAGGAACTACAAAACCGAATGCTTCGAAATCTTGAAGATATTTTAAAATTATCATAAGCATAGTAAATTTTTGATCAAAATGTATTTGGTCGTCCCCCCTAAAAAAATTATGACGTCACCACAAAATTTTGCTGAATAAATCCTATCTAAAATGTACAAAATATGGTGAGTCTCTTCTTGTGATTTATCATTCCATTCAAATTTTTTCGATTTGCATATACAGGGTGACTCAAAAAAATTAATGAATGCGTAAATTTGTTTTATAGATTTAATCAGGAACTACAAAACCGAATGCTTTGAAATCTTGCAGATGTTTTAAGGTTATAAAGAGCATAATAAATTTTTAGTCAAAATATATTTGGTTATCTTCTACAAAAAACTGATGACGTCAGCTCAAAAGTTTGCCGAATAAATCGTATCTAAAATGTACAAAATATGATGAGTCTGTACTTGTGATTTATCATTCCATTCATATTTTTGAATTTGCATATGCAGGGTGACTCAAAAAAATTAATGAAGGCGTGAATTTATTTTATCGATTTAATCAGGAATTACAAAACCGAATGCTTTGAAATCTTGGGAATATTTTAAAGTTATTATAAGCATGGTAAACTTTTGTTCAAAATGTATTTGTTCATCCCTCCTAAAAAAATTGATAACGTCACCCTTAAATTTTGCTGAATAAATCCTATCTAAAATGCAAAAAATATGATGAGTTTGTACTTGTGATTTATCATTCCATTCATATTTTTTAGATTTTCTTAAGAGGTGGTTCAAAAAAATTAATGAAGTCAATTTATTTTATTGATTAAATTAAAGGCAACACTTATTATTAGTATTACACCCCAACCAACCCAATTTGGTAGACACAAAATTTGTTAAAGGAAAAACTCGGTTGAAACATAAGAGTAGCATCGCTTATTTACATCGACTTTAACATTACAGACCTGCATTTGTTTTATGCGCTCACTTGATACCGCGAATGTGAAATAGACATGTTTATAATCAACCAATTGTGAATTTCACCGTCAAGAATTAAAATAAAACCCAATGTTTTATATAATAAGCGGAAGTCTAAGCAATAAAACCGATGGTCCTTTTGTTTACAGTTTCTCTGTTTGACTCTCACGTATGCTGTTACGCTTGTCATCTTAAATTAAGAATGTTTATACATAAACGATTTTTAGTTGCCGTATACGTGAGTAAATTGTTTCGTTATTTTATTGATTATAAAAAATCAATATTCAAAACGACCCAATTCATTTTCCCGAAAATTTGGGAATACAATAATTTTATTCTTAGTATTACACTACATCTATCCCAACTGATATACGTGTCCTTGCAAAAATGTTGATGACGTCATCGCAATTTTTTTTTAAATGCCCACTACAAAAATGTAATGAGAAAAAAAACACAATAGGCATGCAGTCGTCAAGTTTCCGACAGCGAGGGAAGTACTGTCTAAACTCTTTAGACCAATTTTTTTATTGAACGATAAGAATTTTTCGAACATTAACTGCCCCTAATTTGGAAAAACACGTTGACCTTCTAATAGTTAAGAATAAATTCGGTCAGAATTTTTTGTTCTTTAAGTTACAAAGATTTTACATATTACTTCCCGAATATTGTAATTGAGTCCATCTGGCGATTCGCTCCTTTAATGTTTTCTCAACGTTTCATGAGCCCCTAGAATACGAAAACATAGGTCTCTCGTTTCCGTGTGTCCGTCTGCCGTCTGCCGTTTGTCCGCGTCTGTCGATTTTTATTAGACAGATAATCTTATAAACTACCGACTGTTTTATATCTATACTAGGCAGATCATGTAGGTGGTAAAACGCTAACCAAAATTTGTCTGATTATCCTCACCAACGATGATGTGATCTCCAACTTTTACAATAGCGAATGTTATTTAAATTTTATAAAATAACATACTTGTAGTTTATGAATCCGTGTGAGTTTTTACCCTAGGCATCAAATTTTTGTAAAAAAAATCAAAATTATTAACATTTTATAATTTAACTTTGAAATTGCAAAACTGAATGCTTTGAAATCTTGCAAACGTTTTAAGATTATCAGAAGCATAGTAAATCATTATTCAAAATCTATCCGTTTAGGACACTCCTCAAAAATGATGGATAACGTCTTCTCAAAATTTTCTCAAATAAATCCTATCTATTATGTGCAAAATATGATGAGTCTCCACTTGTGATTCATCATTCCGTTCATGGTTTTTTTAATTGTTTATACAGGTGACAAAAAAAATAATGAATGAGTCAATTTTTGTTTTATTGAATAAATCAAGAATGCATCCCTCCATTTTCCCGAAAATTTGGGAATACAATACTGTTATTATTAGTATTACACTGCACCACTGTCGGAACCTCCAGAAAATCCTCTTACTCCCTTTTACCACTAGCTTCACATTTTATCCGCCAAAAACCAAAAGAATATTTTTCAAAAACAATTTAAACTTCACATAATACTTTATCTACCAAAATCCAAAAGAGTGTTTATCTTTAATTAATAATTAACTGTTGAAGAGACATATTTCCCACTGCGTGAACTAGGTAAGACTGGTTTCGGTACATTACACCCCCTCTCAGCTCCCTCGACGACCGATTTTCCAATCCGCGAATCCACGCATCAAGTCGTCTGATAT